ATCAAACTTCATTCAATGTCACATCAATATTATCAGACCACCACACAACATTGAATCAGTATCACCTCAACATCACATCAACGCTTCACATCATTACAACACCTATATCAGATCACCTATCGAACATCACATCAACATAAAATCAATACCACAATAACAACTCACAGATACACCACACAAACATCAGGCCACATCAACTTCAAATCAACAGTGCTAACATTTGACTGACAAAATCACAAATATCACACCACTTCACAAACTCGAGGCAATCTCATGTCAACACCAACATAACAACTTAAAATTAACTGAATATCAACAGGTTCCTGAAGTTTATGATCCCCACCTTGGAGACAAAGAACTGACTAAACTATTTGGGGTTGGTAACATAGAACTGCAGGACCAGGACGTTGAGGATCAAAAAACCAAACCACCTAAAAAGAATTCAATATTAGATATTAGTGATGAAGACAGGAGAGAGAGACTACTAAAGCAGAAAAAAGAGAACAAATGGCATAGATTTGTGGAAGGAAATCTTGTTTTAAAAATGGGTCTAGTTGACAAGAGGAAGGTAAATCATGCTTTTTCTTATTAGTCCCTGTTCGGACGCAGTCCGAAAACGGGGACTTAAGTTTTGACCTCTGTGTGTTCGTCTGTGCATCTGTGCGTGCGTCCGGACCTGTATCTTAGAAATGCCTGGACCAATCACAATCAAACTTCACAAATACATCATACATGATAGTATACATATACACATCAATTTGTTTCACGATCTGATTAAAGATGGCCGAATGGCAGCCATTTTTGTGCTAAAAATCATCAAAAACAAGCATTTCTGAGCTGTTAACAGATGGATTTTGTTCAAACTTGGTATATACATTATACATTATAGGACCTTGATGCATATCATTTTGTTTTAGGATCTGATTCAAGATGGCCGAATGGTGGCCATTTTTGTGCTAAAAAACCATCAAAATCAAGCATTTTTCGGCTGTTTACAGATGGATTTTGTTCAAACTTGGTATATACATTAGACATTATAGGACCTTGAAGCAAATAATTTTGTTTTTCAGATAAGATTCAAAATGGCCGACTGGCGGCCATTTTGTTTTAATGAATGTGGTTCTCGTGCCATATCTCTGACTTGCTTTCACTGATTATGTTCAAATTTTAAATATTCATTATACATCATGTCATTAGATAGACATTAGACATTACAGGTTCCTGATCGATGCACATCATTTATTTTTCAGATCGGATTCAAAATGGCTGTCTGGTGGCCATTTTGTTTTAATGATTGGGCTTCTAGAGCCATATCTCTTAAATGCTTTGACTGATTATATTCAAATTTTATATATTCGTTATACATCATGTTATATATATACATGTATTCAAAATGGCTGATTTTGAATGCTGTTCCAGAGCAATATCTCTCAATATGGACAAGTACTTTTTTGACGATCAGATACAAATGTCAATCATTTTAATGTTAAAAAATCATATTCCTGACATGGTTATATTCCAGCTATATTACTATAAACAAAACTATACATCTTAAATTTGATAACTAATGGGGACTGTGTGCAAAGCACACAATGGGAGTCTTTCCGGTTAGTGCATCTGTGTGTGTGTCTGTTCCGCTGATAGAATGTATCTCAAGAACCAGTTATCAGATTTTAATAGAGCCCTGGGATATTTACAGACCTGATCAATTATTGGATGAAATCTATGAATATTAATTACTTAATTTTTCATATTAGTTAGCCAAATTTAAGCATTTTCACAATTTTTGTTTCATGTGTATCGCTTCTAATTGTCTTTATTATAGTAAAAAAAATATTCCTTATTTGTACTTCATGCCTCCAATACTTTCTAAGTTTACTTTGATTTCATTTTGTGTTTTAATAACTGAAATAATTTTTATCTGATCATCTTCAAATTTGAAAATCTTATCAATCCCTATAAAATGTCAAACAAGTTTGATTCTAGTGTGACTAGCAAGTATAATTCTCAAGATAAATGTATCAAGGCATGATGGGATTAAGTTGGTAGCCTTTGACTGACTGGTGGCCATTTTTGTCTCCAAAACACCAAAAATCAACATTTGAACATGTCATCAATCTTTTCTAAGGCATTCCCTGATGGATTTTATTAAAACTTAGCATTGACTTCACTTTAGGTGAGCTACTGATGCACATCAGTTTGATTTGTGATTTTCCAAATGGCTAACTGGTGACCATTTTTAACAAAAAAAATCAACATTTGAACGTGGCATTAATAATTTTTTAGCCATACCTTGTACAATATTGATGAAACTTGGTATTGACATCACTCATGGAGCATGCCTGGTCCGATCACATTCAAACTTCAGACATACAAGTACAAAGATGGCCGAATGGCAGCCATTTTAATGTTACAAATTCATCAAAATCAACATTTCTTTCATTCTGGAACCTATTATGGGATCTTGATGCATGTCATTTTGTTTTTCAGATCAGATTCAAAATGGCAAATATCTCTGACATGCCTTGAGCAATCATGTTTGAACTTGATAGATGAATCATACATGATGATACACATTAATTTATTTGATGATCCAAATGCATCAAAATCAGGCATTTCTGCCTTTCCTAATCAGGATCACTGTGAAAGCCTTCCAGATACAAGTTGCCTGGATCACTTTGGACTGAGAGTTGCATTGTATCGCACACTGTTACTCATTGTGTACTTAAAGTTAAATTAAAATGCAATGTCTTGTTATATGAAAAACAATGTATACTAATAATGTTTTACACTTACAGGGTTTGTTTGCCCGGAGAAGGCAACTATTACTAACAGAAGGACCTCACCTTTATTATGTGGATCCTGAAAACATGGTTTTGAAAGGAGAAATTCCCTGGTAAGTTTGAAAATGTGTACACTGATCACTAATATGCTGCTACCTCAAATATACACTACCTTCATATAGGAACCGATCAGCAATGAAGGCTTCAAATTGGTTCCAAAAATAGGTACTTATTCAAAGTTGTGTTTACAATAAAATATATTTTCACACAATAAAAAACAAAAATGGTCTATACATATATACTATATACATAGATCTACAACAGGTCTATTCATAACTACTATATACATAGTTCTACTACATGTCTATTCATATCTACTGTATCCATAGATCTACAACAGGTCTATTCATAACTACTATATACATAGTTCTACTACAGGTTTATTCATATCTGCTGTATACATAGATCTACTGCTGGTCTATTCATATCTACTATATACATAGATCTACTACAGGTCTATTCATATCTACTGTCTACATAGATCTACTGCAGGTTTATTCATATCTACTGTCTACATAGATCTACTGCAGGTTTGCATATCTACTGTCTACATAGATCTACTACAGCTCTATTCATATCTACTGTATACATAGATCTACTGCAGGTCTATTCATATCTACTGTCTACATAGATCTACTGCAGGTCTGCATATCTACTGTCTACATATATCTACTACAGCTCTATTCATATCTACTGTCTACATAGATCTACTACAGCTCTATTCATATCTACTGTCTACATAGATCTACTACAGCTCTATTAATATCTACTGTCTACATAGATCTACTACATGTCTATTCATATCTACTGTCTATATAGATCTACAACAGCTCTATTAATATCTACTGTCTACATAGATCTACTACATGTCTATTCATGTCTACTGTCTACATAGATCTACTGCTGGGCTACATAGATCTACTGCTGGTCTACTCTTGTCTCTAGAAATTTGCACAAATTATGATACATCTACTGCTCTACCTCTGTCTATTGTGATTTCACATTTTTGGTAAATCTATGGTAGGTCTACTCACTTCTACTCACTATTACTATGAAATTGCAATATCAGTTCCCTTCTGTTTTTCTTGCAGGTCTCCAGAGCTCCGAGTTGAAACTAAAAATTTTAAAACTTTCTTTGTACATACAGTAAGTGACTCAAATAATTTAAAATATATTTGTAATTGACTTCCAATTTTGAATGTTTCATATATTTCTATAAGAAAAATCTAATATTTCTTAATATCTTCTCCAATGACCTCACAGGTTGAAACTTGAAATTTGCACCATTTTCTGAATTTTTGTTTGGCTGTCATGGGATAATCATGTTCTTTAAACTAGCAAATATTGTAATTTATTATTTTACTAATAATGTAAACATTGTTTTGCTTTCAGCCGAATCGTACATATTACTTGATGGACCCTCAGAACTATGCTATAGAGTGGTGTAAGGCAATAGATGAAGTCCGACGAAATACATATGCCAGCAAACCGTGAAGAAAAGATACTCTTTTCCCCACAGCTTGATAACAACAACATATAAATATATATTATAAAATCTGTGTCATCGGATGTCATTCCAAATGTACTGGCATCTGTTGGCATTATTACATACATTTTACCTATTGACAGACAAATCTCAATAATAATTTTGAGAATAATTTTAAAAATCACTCCTTAATTTAACTACTCTACCTGTACTGTTTCCATGCGCATCTGTTCTGCAAAAAGGAAATGTTTCCTCTCAGTTTTGCAATATGCTTGAATGTATTATTGATCAAAATGAAGAAGAAACTTGAGTGTTTCCTCCTAGGTTAGGAATACTTGAATGCATAATTGATTAAACTAAAGAGGAAGCATGGCCTCACTCAGCTGTACACTTATATGGCAATTAAATATTTTTCCCAATGAGACTTGATTTTATCATGTTTGTGAGTGTGTTCTGTGTTAGCAATATTTGCTTGGTGATAAATATGCACTTCTCTTGGTTTAGGTTTGAAATATATCTTGAATGTGTGATTGTGCATGTCACATTATTATAGTATGAAGATGAAATGCTATGGGTTATATACAGATATCAATCGAGGTATACTGAGTCATTTTTATTATTAAAGAAGATGCATCCCAGTGTTCTCGCTTATAGGATCAAGTTCAGTGACCCCTGCCCTTGTTTACATTCATTTTCAAAACCTGCTTGAAAAAAAAAAGTTTTTGTTACAATCTTATGAAATTTCTTATTTTTGTGTAATCTAGTTTATACCCTCACTAGCCAATCACTACCAGTAGTTGAATATAGTTAGACAAAGTCTAGTCCTCCTAGAGACTTTGTAATTGTTTATTATTATAACTCTTGGTTGCCGAGCAACACATGTTCCATTGTCAACAAGTATTGTGAACTAGCATTTGCTTCTTGCATGGTTTTTACCTTGCCCGTACCATCAAAGATGGAAGGGAAAGGTATATTAAGGGAAAAATTTTGTCCGACATTGTCGTTGTCGTCGTCATCGTCGTTGTCGTCGTTAATAATTGTTATTGTGTGCATAATAACTTTACTAATTCTATTCCAAACTTCATCAAACTTGGTCACCTTATTCATCAGTATAAAGTCTTCCTTGAGTATGAACAACAGATGTTCTGTATGAAAATATCATGCAAAAATTGAGAAAATCTGA